TAGACATTTTTTGTCTATTTAGACTTTTTTTTAATTTTTTTTATTTCATCTGTCCACTATTTTAATTCAGTTAATGCTATAGGCACCACATTTTGTGGGAAGTCCTAATTCTTGTCGAGGTTTTTAGTTCCAAGAATTGTTTAAAAAAAAAAAAAAAAAAGAACAATAAAATGTCCACTGACAAAAACAGCTGTAAAATCCTTATAGATCTTTGGATTTAATTGAAAAAGGTATGAAAAAATCTATAATCTATTCCTACTCTAATCAAAAATATAAACTTTATATGTTTAAAATCCTGAAAATTTTCATAAATTTAATGTTTTTAATTTAGAACAAGATTGGGTCTTTGGATTTAGTTGAAAAAATATGAATATGATTACAACTGTTTTTGCAAGTGGACATGTGTCATTAAGGTCCGAAGTGTGACTTTTTTATAAAAATTGATGCCATTGTAGCCTGGCTTCCGTTTTCTAGAAACTGTTACAAGATTAGAGGTCAATTTTTCGCTACATGTTAAATTCAAGTTCATTTAATCACTTAATTGCTTAAAATAAAAGTGAATTTGTAAAGAAAATATCTTCATTCTTTGTACTAAAAAAAAATATGTATTCTTTTTTCCTAGGTCCCCATGAGTGATTGTTTGAGAAATTGTGTGAATTATGTTAATTATGTTAATTATATGCAGATTTCGTCCCCATAAGCCATATTCACTAGTTTTTTTTTAGGTCCTCATGACACATCTTCCCACCATTATGTCATCATTTGAAAGATCTGAAGGCGTGTATAGGTTAACAATGCCATGTTAAGTAACCTCAATTTTTTTCAAACCTGTAGAACCTCTAGAAAGGGTGGTCCCCGCAAATGATGGCTAGAAAGTTGGTCCTCCTTAACCATGGAAACCAGTATAGGTGTGTGTGTGTGTGTGTGTGTATCTGTCCACCTGCAATAATTCTGCCATTTATGTACAGATTGTGACCAAATTTGGTACGTGGTTCAAGCCCTCATGCCCGATGCCGCAAAAAAAAAAAGTTTGGTGACGTTTCGAGGTCATTTGAGGTCACACAGGTCAACTGAAAGGTCACGCTATTATAAAGGATCAGCAATTTCGCCAATTTCTGAACCATCTGCGGCCTAAAATATTCACCCAATCATCACACAAGTTGGCACACACATAACCGGGGTACACTGGATGTTACAGGTTGAAACCGGTCAAGGTCAAATGAAGGTCAAGGTAACCAAGGTAAAATATGTCTTTTTGGCCATAACTCCACGAAAGATCAAGCGACACCAACGGGAGTGTCTCAAAATCTCAAAAAAAATATTATCTGTTTATAATTCTATGCATTTGTTTAGTAAAATATGAATAGTTTTTCTGGTGACACACAACACACTGATCTACAGTCACATAACTAACATGTACACAACTCATGAAAAATGAAAAAAAATCTTGTCCTTCTCCTTCTCAATCTCCTCCTTAAAACAAGTAAGTTGTTCATGTTCTGGCTCCGGTACGAGAGGAACTTTAAAAATCTCCAGGTGCTCAATGCTGCGTCCATGTTTGGACAACTTCTGTAAACACAGAGACGCTCACTGTGGTTGACGTCGTCGTGTCTCCAGTGTCACATGCGGGACACTTTTGGGCTGTTTAACGTTCACACTGGAGTCACATACAAGTCACATTTAAATGGAAATGTGAACGACCTCGCAAAAACATCGGATTTCACAAAAAAATCTGAATTGAGCGTTAAGCCCTGCAGTCTGAACGTAGCCTTAGTTGGTTAAAATCAAGTGATATGGTGTTAAAAACTGAGCCCAAAAAACAAAAAGTTTCAAAAACATGAGATTTTTTTCTGATACTTTAAACATGATTTCAACAATATAAAAGTGTTTGATGTTAGTGGTTTGTGAAACAAAGTCTGTGTACACTGGAGGAGTTTGGACCCTGTGTATATAATGGTCGCTCTGTAACAGTTATGGAAATCCCTAGTGTCATGTCACAGTTTCCAACCAGGACGTCCAATCTGAAAACTGTAAAACTGCCAGACAGAAATGTTTTAAAACTTTTTTTTTGTTAAACCGTAAACGTTTTAATCTCAACTGTGTTTAAGTCAAATCAGTAGCCCAGTAGTCTACAGCAGTCAAAGAGAAGGTTCTTTCGGGATGTTCCATCACCATAGCAACAAAAACCATAGTAACCTTAGAACAGCTTTGAAACTTTATGACATTATACTGTTGAGACTGTAAGAGTGCATTTACGGCATTTGTTGAGAAGCTAATATAATTTGGAATACTGAATAAATTACTCATTTATCTTAGCTAATTTAGTTGCAAGTTACATTTTAATTAGTTAAAATGGCGAGTAAGTCCAAATTGGCTACAGGTAAATTTAAAACCAGCACTCAGCCTAACAGCACTCAACTGAAAATATTAAGAGACTGGACAAAGTGATCAGATTGAAAAATAAAGAAATTAATGATCTGAAACACCAGATACAAGTTCAAGACCACACAATTGGGGACAAATAAGACGGCTCTGCGCTTACAGGCCAAAGAGAAGAAGAAACTACTGGTGCAGCTGGACGAACAACAACAAAAAGAAACGATACTAGAAAGTAGCGTCCACTTAAGTAAGAAAACGCAACATGTTTTGCAGGACGAGGTCGATGAGTTTAAAAAGCACGAGAAAAAAAATAAACTCGAGCTTAAAATGATGAGGGAAGAAAATCAGGACATGAACGAAAAGTTGCAATTCTGCAAAAGCAAACTCAAAATTTCTCAGTCGACTTTGAAATCTGAGAAGGAAAAGTATGAAATCTTAGAATGCAAGCAGCGCAATATTCTGGCAGGTCTGGAAGGCTGTCGAGACGTTTTACAAGACCGCGCCAAGCTCAAGAAGAAGGTTTCGTCCATGATCGAATACTACATGGCAGGTAACACTAAAGCCATTGTAGATAAGGACGCACACTATTTGAACAGTCAGTTGGTGGAGTATATACAAGTTCACAAAGAGCGCACAGAAAGAATTTTAACTCACCACGAGAGGGAGAAGATACGGAACGCCAAAGTCGCGCACAACGCTAAAAGACGCGACCTCAATGAAAAAATGGATCTCATCAACTACATCAACGACCAGCAAATGCAACAAAAGAACGAACCTGCTAAAAAAGCACACTAGGCAGGTTAGCAATTCAAATTTAGCCGTGTGCAAGCAGTATCGGCTACGTAGTTCAGTACATGGTGACGTAACACTGGAATCGCAATTTAAAAAAATAAAAAAAATAATAAAATAAAATTAATTTAAAAAAAATCTGAGTCTAAGTCTTTTTGTAACTGTTCAGTATTTTGTATTTGAGTTGTTATTATCAGATACTCAACAATCCTTGGATACTTTGGTCCAAGTTGTGATTGTGACCATTCTTGGGATATAACTGTTTTGATATTTTTACCTGGTCCCTGAAGGGTCGACCAAGTTTTGTATTCACCCTGTGTGTCTGTGTGTGTGTGTGTGTCTGTGTGTGTCTGTGTGTCTGTGTGTGTCTGTGTGTCTGTGTGTGTCTGTGTGTGTGTGTGTGTGTGTGTGTGTATCTGTCCACCTGCAATAATTCTGCCATTTATGTACAGATTGTGACCAAATTTGGTACGTGGTTCAAGCCCTCATGCCCGATGCCGCAAAAAAAAAAAAGTTTGGTGACGTTTCGAGGTCATTTGAGGTCACACAGGTCAACTGAAAGGTCACGCTATTATAAAGGATCAGCAATTTCGCCAATTTCTGAACCATCTGCGGCCTAAAATATTCACCCAATCATCACACAAGTTGGCACACACATAACCGGGGTACACTGGATGTTACAGGTTGAAACCGGTCAAGGTCAAATGAAGGTCAAGGTAACCAAGGTAAAATATGTCTTTTTGGCCATAACTCCACGAAAGATCAAGCGACACCAACGGGAGTGTCTCAAAATCTCAAAAAAAATATTATCTGTTTATAATTCTATGCATTTGTTTAGTAAAATATGAATAGTTTTTCTGGTGACACACAACACACTGATCTACAGTCACATAACTAACATGTACACAACTCATGAAAAATGAAAAAAAATCTTGTCCTTCTCCTTCTCAATCTCCTCCTTAAAACAAGTAAGTTGTTCATGTTCTGGCTCCGGTACGAGAGGAACTTTAAAATCTCCAGGTGCTCAATGCTGCGTCCATGTTTGGACAACTTCTGTAAACACAGAGACGCTCACTGTGGTTGACGTCGTCGTGTCTCCAGTGTCACATGCGGGACACTTTTGGGCTGTTTAACGTTCACACTGGAGTCACATACAAGTCACATTTAAATGGAAATGTGAACGACCTCGCAAAAAAACATCGGATTTCACAAAAAAATCTGAATTGAGCGTTAAGCCCTGCAGTCTGAACGTAGCCTTAGTTGGTTAAAATCAAGTGATATGGTGTTAAAAACTGAGCCCAAAAAACAAAAAGTTTCAAAAACATGAGATTTTTTCTGATACTTTAAACATGATTTCAACAATATAAAAGTGTTTTGATGTTAGTGGTTTGTGAAACAAAGTCTGTGTACACTGGAGGAGTTTGGACCCTGTGTATATAATGGTCGCTCTGTAACAGTTATGGAAATCCCTAGTGTCATGTCACAGTTTCCAACCAGGACGTCCAATCTGAAAACTGTAAAACTGCCAGACAGAAATGTTTTAAAACTTTTTTTTTGTTAAACCGTAAACGTTTTAATCTCAACTGTGTTTAAGTCAAATCAGTAGCCCAGTAGTCTACAGCAGTCAAAGAGAAGGTTCTTTCGGGATGTTCCATCACCATAGCAACAAAAACCATAGTAACCTTTGAACAGCTTTGAAACTTTATGACATTGTACTGTTGAGATTGTATGAGGGCATTTACGGCATTTGTTGAGAAGCTAACCGCGCACATACTGACTGAGAGGAGGGAGTTAAAGCAATATAATTTGGAATACTGAATAAATTACTCATTTATCTTAGCTAATTTAGTTGCAAGTTACATTTTAATTAGTTAAAATGGCGAGTAAGTCCAAATTGGCTACAGGTAAATTTAAAACCAGCACTCAGCCTAACAGCACTCAACTGAAAAGTCTGGAAACTCTGAAATTTGAGAAAAATAAGAAAACCGTGATCGCAGAAAAGGCTGAATTAGAGGACGTCATTCTGAAACAAAGGATAAAGATCGCCAAATTAGAAAAGATAAATAAAACTGAAACCGCTAAGTGCGCAACTCTCAGCTCACAGCTCAAAGATTATCAAAGCAGATACAAAGCGTCAGAGAAGAGATGCATGGAGGTCAAAGAGGGATGTGAGGTTTACCAAAAAGAGTGTACCGTGCTAAAAGACAAGCTCGTCAAACTCAGGGAAGAATCCGAAAGCAAACTCGAGACCCAAGGCAAGAAAATTAAAGATATGACCGAAAAGATGGTCGCCAACAGATCTAAAATGGCGGAGTTACACACACAATTAACGAATCAGCAGGCCGAATGGGAAAATAAGTACAATAACCTTTTGCAAAATTTACAAGAGGCACAAGAGCTTGTTAATAAAACGATAAAAGAAAAAGAGGACATTGCCAGCGAACTGACCAAGGTAAAGGAAGATCACCAAAGTCAAGTTAAAAGCATCCTCCAACAAAACGACAAAGAGGTCGAAAAAGTGAAGCAATCCGTCACCAACTTACATATACAAATACACGACCTCAATTACACAAATAGGGAGTTACAAACAAATATTAAGAGACTGGACAAAGTGATCAGATTGAAAAATAAAGAAATTAATGATCTGAAACACCAGATACAAGTTCAAGACCACACAATTGAGACAAATAAGACGGCTCTGCGCTTACAGACCAAAGAGAAGAAGAAACTACTGGAGCAGCTGGACGAACAACAACAAAAAGAAACGATACTAGAAAGTAGCGTCCACTTAAGTAAGAAAACGCAACATGTTTTGCAGGACGAGGTCGATGAGTTAAAAAAGCACGAGAAAAAAATTAAACTCGACCTTAAAATGATGAGGGAAGAAAATCAGGACATGAACGAAAAGTTGCAATTCTGCAAAAGCAAACTCAAAATTTCTCAGTCGACTTTGAAATCTGAGAAGGAAAAGTATGAAATCTTAGAATGCAAGCAGCGCAATATTCTGGCAGGTCTGGAAGGCTGTCGAGACGTTTTACAAGACCGCGCCAAGCTCAAGAAGAAGGTTTCGTCCATGATCGAATACTACATCGCAGGTAACACTAAAGCCATTGTAGATAAGGACGCACACTATTTGAACAGTCAGTTGGTGGAGTATATACAATTTTACAAAGAGCGCACAGAAAGAATTTTAACTCACTACGAGAGGGAGAAGATACGGAACGCCAAAGTCGCGCACAACGCTAAAAAACGCGACCTCAATGAAAAAATGGATCTCATCAACTACATCCACGACCAGCGAATGCAACAAAAGAACGAACCTGCTAAAAAGCACACTAGGCAGGTTAGCAATTCAAATTTAGCCATGTGCAAGCAGTATCGGCTACGTAGTTCAGTACATGGTGGATACTGCTGACCACAAGGAACATGGAGGCTCCAGACTTACTCACCAAAACCTCTAAATTTGCCTCCACAAAGCTTCATCCAATCCCAGACAATGTTATGGCTGATGTGGACGGAGCTTCAGTAGACCATGGCCTATCCTGAGGAGACCTGGAACTGACCAATCTCCGTTTACATGACGTAACACTGGAATCACAATTTAAAAAAAATAAAAAAAATAATAAAATAAAATGAATAAAAAAAAAATCTGAGTCTAAGTCTTTTTGTAACTGTTCAGTATTTTGTATTTGAGTTGTTATTATCAGATACTCAACAATCCTTGGATACTTTGGTCCAAGTTGTGATTGTGACCATTCTTGGGATATAACTGTTTTGATATTTTTACCTGGTCCCTGAAGGGTCGACCAAGTTTTGTATTCACCCTGTGTCTGTGTGTGTGTGTGTGTGTGTCTGTGTGTGTCTGTGTGTGTCTGTGTGTGTGTGTGTCTGTGTGTGTGTGTCTGTGTGTGTCTGTGTGTGTGTGTCTGTGTGTGTCTGTGTGTGTGTCTGTGTGTGTGTGTGTGTGTCTGTGTGTGTCTGTGTGTGTGTGTCTGTGTGTGTGTGTCTGTGTGTGCTGTGTGTGTGTGTGTCTGTGTGTCTGTGTGTGTGTGTGTGTGTCTGTGTGTGTGTGTCTGTGTGTGTGTCTGTGTGTGTGTGTCTGTGTGTGTGTGCTGTGTGTGTGTGTGTGTGTGTGTGTGTATCTGTCCACCTGCAATAATTCCGCCATTTATGTACAGATTGTGACCAAATTTGGTACGTGGTTCAAGCCCTCATGCCCGATGCCGCAAAAAAAAAAAAAAAGTTTGGTGACGTTTCGAGGTCATTTGAGGTCACACAGGTCAACTGAAAGGTCACGCTATTATAAAGGATCAGCAATTTCGCCAATTTCTG